TCATCGACTTACCACCCGTTTATCGGCTGGTTGCGCCGAAGCAACTTGGGCTGAATCACTTGCTCAGTTAAATTTACGGTAAGGCGAATATTGTCCCGTAAGCAGATTCGAACTCGGCATCTCCGGAGTTGAAAGTCGATCTCTTGGCATTGTGCCAGTATGCCACCAATGTTTTAAGTTTTGAGAACAAATCAGAGTTTAAGCCAGTTAAGAAAGGCTTCTGAAAAATGATGACACCATAATTGATAGTGATACTACGGCTTCATAATTTTTGTGATCGAAATGGACGTCATTGTTTAATACAGTGTATCATGTATTGTCATTAAGGTGTAAAGCACTAATCGATATTAATCCCGAAAGACGTTCTAAAGTTCGACAAGCTTCGTGCCGATTTTGGGAGGGTTGGACCGGCGTTTGACGCTTCATTAACTATTGCATTCGAATGTCCTGCAAGTTGCGGAACTTTTTTGCTATTAAATGCATATTTAGTAAAATTATGCATAAATCATAAATATAGTTTTATTCGTATCGTTAATATGTATTTATCGGGATCATGACTTTACATATTCTCGTCATGTTTAAGGGATTGCTAGTTTGAATATCGAAACTTGCTCGTGATGGGCTCTCTTATGCCAGCTGACTGAAGGGTGCATATTGTACTATGAAAGCTATGCATTGCGGTGATCGCACATGAAAGCGTTAGACTTGGGCCGTGAAATTAGTTCAAGGGTATGCAGCAGTATTCCTCTCTCATTCTAACGTTGCAGTCAATTTTTTGCTGGAGTAGGCTGTGATGCCCATGGTGGTTCAACGTCGATCAACAATCTCAAAAATTCCTGTGAAAATACGGCAGTAGCATTTAATCAAGTACTGCTGAAGCTCCGGTTGAACAAATATTTCGTCCTGTGTATTGTTGAGATTTGTTGTATAGTTGTGTTGTTTGCGTGAGCGGAAGATCTCTAATTTGTGATGTCCGCTGTATTAGCATATTTTCAATACTTTGCTGTAGGGCTCCGGTTACGGTATCATGGTAGAGAATATTCATCTTCGAAAACGGATCTACTTCTGCCTTTCCTTCTGATCGGCGCCCATCATGTTTGGACTGATCCATACTAGCAGCTTATGGGTTGGAGTAAATGGTTTATCTCCAATGAGTTTGTCGTACTCAGCCTCCTTTTGTCAATTTTCACGTCTGCCGAGTTCATCTGTACCCCTACCCCATGAGGGGTTCATTTCCATTCATCATTTGATCTGGCCATGTAACCCTCATTATGATTCGAAGGCTTCGCTGCTGTACGCAGTTCAGTTCTTGCTCCTTCGTTATAATAGCTGTCTTCGTGCCGTACAACAGCATTGACCTGACTGAAGATAGGCACAGGCGGATTTTTCTGGAAAGAGATACTTTTTTCTTAGACCAAGATAGAGAACTTTGTCTTAATCTGCCCTGGTGCAGTCAGATTAAAAATGATAGAATGGAGATGATCGGTGAACTGCCATAATTCCATCAAATGATAATCATTAAGCAGAGCTTGCGAAATCCATGGCCATTTTTTCGTTAAGCTCGTTTTGAATGGTTCACTGTTGCTTCCCGGACAAACTCAGTGCCAGATTATATAATTTCGTCACAAATTTTTATCATGGCTGCATTGTTGGATGGTCGTTTTTGAACTCTGGCATTCAAGGATGCCTTGACATCATAGTAGACTACTCTTGTTTTTCATGTCGTGCCCGTTTCATATAACTTCTAATTAGAAGTTTCCTGCTCCTAGCAAGACATGCAATAAATATTAGTAATTGAGCTAATGTAAATATGAAGTAAATGTAGCTTTTGTCATGTTTTTTGCGTGTTATTATCTATTTCTGTTTAGAACTGTTCTTCACCTCTGGGTTGCGTTCAGAGACGGAAACAGCCTTTACAGACGAGCCAGAAACACTGCAAGCTGCGCGTCCAACTGATCCGGATGAATCCGTGATAGCAGAGCACAAATGCAAAAACCGCACGGACTTGGTAATGAACAATTTGAGAGAGTTGGGAGATATGGCAATCTGGAGTCTTTCTTCATGCAAGCCAGGTATGTTGTGGTACTCATTCATTATTTAGTGCTCTTAAAGGCAAGGGAAGTTAGAAACAACATTTGACTATTGTGTAGGTATAATTCTTGGTG